TGTTCAGTAAATGCTTGCTGCTGCTCTCAACAGACCCAAGTAGAAGCTGAAATTGTGCATATTTTATGCCTTTTGTCTAGTTCTGACTCTTATGAAATGATTTGTGATCCAGGGTGTTTTCATTTATCCCTTGGGGAGCAGAGAGTCAAATCCCTGAAAAGAGAAGACCTAAGAATCCTAAGAATCAGTTCACTTCTCTTTCAGAACAAATGTATCTCTCTCTCTCTATCTATCTATCTATCTATCTATCTATCTATCTATCTATTGGTGTTAAGTAGAAAAAAATTTATTTTATTTTATTTTTCTATTTGCATTGAAAAAAGAATTCCAAATGACACTAAACCAAGTTCAAAATACTCTTAGAGGTCAACCAAGTCAGAATAATAATTAGGTACCAATAAGATGGACCTCTAGAAACTGTGAGCACATAGCAAGCCCTTGAATACAGCAAAATATACTTTTTAGGGCTTCTTACCTTAATGTGTCATGGATGCCTTTGGCAATCTGGTGGAATCCATGGATCCTTTTCTGAATAAGGTTTTAAACATATAAAAAAAAAAGATACATAGGATTGCAAAAGAAACCAATTATATTGATAATACTGTCATCACAATATCAAAAACCATGTTTGTGATACAGGAATAAATGTGCTCCTTATTTATGCATTAAATACTGTGTTCTATGGTGGGATTTGTAATTTCAAAGTGTGATGGATGAGTGTAATCAATATTTTGAAATATCTGCAGAATTCTAACATGACATGAAAATATCTGTAATTTCCATTGGCAACAAGACACAGGCATTGCCAATATTGCTATATGTTCAAAGGAAATGCTAAATTCCAGGTAGAGGTTAGTGAAAAGAAGGGTGTATGTTCCTCATTCAAGTTCATGTACACATTCTTTGGTCACCTGTAGACCCCAAGTTAAGAAGCCATGGCTGAGACCAGCTGTGCAGAGGAAATAGCTCCAGAAATAATGTGAAAGCAGATTAATATTTCTCCTCAAACATATTTCCTATGCACCAGCTCTGTTAAGTGAGTGGTTCTAGAATCCCAGGAATGGATAACTAGTGAGTTCACTCTTGAGAATTGACTACATCCAGGTCCATCTTCATCCCTTCACAAGGCTTCATTCAAAACTCGATGGGTACAGAACCAGCTCACCTTGGCAGGTCCCTTTTGATGTGTAAGTAAGGGCACCAGGAGATGTGATAAATAGTGCAGGGGCCAGAGAAGGAAATAGAAATTTTTCCAATTCGATGGAGGAGTAATGAAAGCTGTGTTAACTCTACATTATTGAGTGTCTTACCAGATGTGGAAATCTTGACATGTTAACGGAAACTCTTTAGTGTTAGTTTTGGTAGATATGACTTAACATCTTCCCAAGCAGTTACTACAGGAATTTGAGTTTCTAAGGAAGAGATGGTGCACTACTGTATAGCCAAGGTGATTGTTAAAATGTCCCCCAAAGATCTAAAAATGTTTTCTGTGGTCTGTAGGGATTATTCCACTGTCCTTTGGTTTCTAGTGTTGCAGATAAGAAGAGTGAAGCTAGGTTTATCCTCCCTCCCTGCTTTGGTAACTTTTTCTCTCTATCCAGAAGATGCCAGAATGTTTTCTTTACTTTTCCAAATGACCAGATGTCTGAGTCTTTTCTCACTGATTTCCCCTGGGATTCAGGAGACCCCCTCGCTCTCCCCTTTCAACCCAAAACATGGGTCTCTCTTCTATTATTTAATTATTTCCTCCTCTCCATCTCTTCCTTCTCTAAGATGGTTTTTGTATTGTATGTAACTGAGTATTCAAGTTTCTTCCTTTCCTTCATGATTTCTGTCTATTTTTTTGCTTTGCATTTTGAGATAAATTGATTTTTCCTAATAATATCTGGCTTGTTGAAATTACCACCTATTGCCTGAATTTTGAAATTCACTAATCATATTTTTAGATTGAAATTTTTTTTATTGATTGTTCCAAACATTACAGAGCTCTTGATAAATCATCTTTCATACATTTGACTCCATTGGGTTTTGAACTCCCATTTCTACCCCAAATACAGATAGCAGAATCACATCTGTTACATACTCACATTTTTACCTAGTGGCATATTAGTGACTGTTTTAATCTGCTACCTTTCCTAACCCCTACTATCT